GAGGAGCGGCAGCTATGACCCACTCAGAAATAGTACAACGTTTGCGTCTTTGGTTATCGCGAACCTGCTCGGCTGTAAAATCTAGTAGTGAGGGCGGCTTTCGGCCGAACGTTGCTAAGGACGTTCCGGAGGCATCAAAGTCAGGTAAATAGGGCACCGTTGCACTTTCAAGCTTGAACTCGCGACCGGCGTATGCTCTAGCCTGGTTAGGAACATCTTCCTCATTGCTGTAATATGCTTCTTGGTAGATCACGTCCGGTAGACCGTTCTGGTACATGGTCGATTCGACCTGTTTGAAAGTTGGTGGACGAGGCTGATATAATTGCAAACTTCTCTTTTCTTGCATTGTTGGGAGACCCTTGAGGCTGAAATCGAGAAAATTGGATGACCTAGTGCACAGACCTATGGTAAGAGGCATTTGGATATGTCCGGACGCAGTAGATACAGACTTTGCAGGGGTCTTGAGCATCGCAGGAGAAATTGGAGGCTCAACAGTCGAGCCCTTTGGCACGCTCTGCGAAGCACCACTTTTCTGGCTTAGTCGGAGCACGGTAGCAGGATCAGTGGGATCCTTTACCGTGGGGAAGGATAACGTTGATTGTTGTGAGAGAATTGGAGATATTGGTACATCCACAGATGTGGCCTTTGATGTTTTCTGCCGGTCCATAACTGAAAGACGATCGACGGTAGGCTGAGGTAATAGGATACTACGCATCTCTTCCTCTGTTGGTTCCGCACCCGATCCGAGCTCGTCATTTTCATTAGATAAATCAGAGTCCTCATCCGAGGCCCAGAAGTCAACGTCGGGTAGAATATTCTCGCAATCAATCAAATGCTTCTGTCTTTTCCTGGGTTTGAATGTTGGCGCCTCTCCAAATCGTGCTCTCTTGGTGCGATTTGTGACTTCAGCATGACCATTTAAATATTGTTCTGGTACTTCAAATACATCCTCATCAAAGTGTTCCTTGTCACCTGCAGGACGAATGCCGAATTTCTCGTACTCGGAGGAGCTGATAGGAGATGAGACTGGCCTGTCGGCAGCTTTGGCATTACCGTCGCTGTAGCTGTTTGTTTGTTGTGACCGGTCAGATGATCCTTCCTGTGAGTCGTCTCCATCCAAGCTTAGGCCCGAGCCATCCCCAAACTTTGCCGATCGAGACTGATCAATAACAACCTGGCTATGCCTGTCTTGCGCAGCGTTGTTGCCATTGAGACCGTCACTCGGAATTTTTGACTGGAGATTGCAGATTCTGTCTGGATACAAGTCGTCAATGCTCTCCAGTGCTGTGCGAACAGTGCCTTCGAGAGATCCGGGTTTTACAAAGGTGTCGAAAGAGACTTCTCGCTTATCGCCCTTTTCAAACTCCTCGGCTGCGAGCTGGGCCACCTTCTGACGATATTCATGTTCGTGGATCCAGCCCCCAGCAGCTGTGTTCCTTGGATCCGCTGACATGGATATTAGAACCTCAGGAGGGAAGGGGCTGCTATTCGGGTCCTTGAGTCCCATTCTAATCTTTCTGCGTCGAGTTTCATCCTTCCAAAGCCCAGCCATGCTCTGCACCAGTTTGGCATCTGCCGGGATAGGATGAATGCGCTCGATAAAATCATGGTGTAAGGTTCGAGCGTGGACGTCTCTGCGGTTCAAAATATCCTTGACGTGCACATCCACCTCGAGCGTACAGTGGCTCTGCTTAGGTAGTTGGGTATCATCGGAAATGTCCAAGAAAGGAATTGAAAGATCGTGCCATTGATGCATTGGATTTGTCAAATCGGTATATTTTGGAACGGGTGCACGAAACTTGACTTTTCGGCAGTCGATATAGCCACACCCGTAAAGATTGTAGTCGCACATCCATTGCGCCACATATTGCATGTGACTTTCGTATGGCTGCAACACTCTTTTCATGATTGCTCCCTCCCGCAACAAATCGGCCAACTTCGTCATATGCAGCGGGTTCAGCAGATAAATCTTGAGGTAGAACTTGTATCCGACATGAAAGCCATAGAACGGAATGCCCTTGACCAAAGAGATGTGGGCAACATATCGATGCTTTCCTTCGTAAATGTTCTTGCGGTAGCTCACCGCCAAAGCGTGATCGATGGCGAGGTGCAGGGTACGAATGGCGACATTAACATCCTCTGGAGCTAGACTGCCGCTGTACTCGATATAGGTATATTGGAGCGCGCCATGGACGTGCATCAACACCTTTTGCCCGGTCGGGGTTGCGCCAAAGACGCGAATGACTGAAACTCGAGGTCTGTCATTGCGATTCACACTGCCAGTGCCGAGAGGTAGAGGAGGATCCAACCCGTCAGCTGGGACAGCTTGGTAGTGATCCACGCAGTTGAGGCGGATTCGGAAGATGTCCATGAGCGCAGGGAGGTAATCGACGCGTCTTTCTCATATTGGCGGGTTTATTTCGTGTAAATTATCGAAGGGGACAAAGTTCCTAGACATTATGAAGAAGAATTTGCACATCCAAAAGGGCTCACTGAGGGTCATGGCATGGCAAGGAAGAAGTAACTGTTTACAAAGTGGGGGGATATTGACATGCGGCGCAAATCGCCGAGGCTGCGTGAGGCTGCGATGCAGCCTTGTCAATCGATTTTTCGCCTCTTGACTGACCATCTTCAACTTGCAATTGCACTTTCACATCGCAACCCAAATAACATCAATTCCTTGTTTCCGTCAGCTACACCTCCTTTGATTATCGAATCAGCTACCCAAAAATGGCGCAGCAAAACAGAAAACCCCCCGGTCCAGACCAGTCCCGCAACGAATACATCCCCTCCTTCATCTCAAAGCGTCCCTTCTGGGCCGAAACCACACATTCCGACGCCGACTACCTCGAACACCAACGGTTACAATCCGCTCCCAAAGATACTCTCGATAAAGCAAAATGGTACGACCGAGGCAAGAAACAAGGGCCCGCGGCCACGAAATTCCGCAAAGGCGCATGTGAAAACTGCGGCGCCATGACGCACAAGACAAAAGAATGTCTAAGCCGGCCGAGGAAACAGGGCGCGAGGTGGACGGGCAAGGATATTCAAGCTGACGAGGTTGTTGAGGACGTGCAATTAGGATGGGATGCCAAAAGAGACCGCTGGAACGGGTACGACAGTCGAGAGTACAGTGCCGTTGTCAAAGAATACGAAGAGCTCGAAGCCATCAAGCGCGCGGCGGTAGGCCAAAAGGAAGATGGCAACGGCACCGCTACTCCGGATTCATCTGACGCCCGGTACGGTGAAGAAACAGACATGGGCCGTTCTCAACCAACTTCGACGCGTCAACTCCGCCTGCGTGAAGATACAGCAAACTACCTGAAAAACCTCGATCTTGATTCCGCCCGCTACGATCCAAAGACGCGCTCCATGGACAAGTCAGCCGCAGATATTGCAGACGGTGCCGATGCAGATGAAGGCTTCGTCCGCCCAGCGGCTACGAACGACGACGCCGCCGAATTCGAGCGGGCGCAACGTTACGCATGGGAAACGCAGGAGAACAATCCGAACCCGTCCCAAATAAAGAAGTTACATTTACAGGCAAATCCAACCGAGGGCGAAATCCTCCGCAAGAAGCAAACGCAAGAAGCAGCGGAGAAGAAGGCGGCTGCTCGGAAAGCTCTGCTGGAGAAATACGGCGGGGACGAATATCTCTTGACAGAAAGCGGCGACCAACAACACCCGACCAAAAGAGTCAAGCACCACAATGTCATTGCCAGCGAGCGGTACGTGGAGTACGACGAATCAGGACACATCAAGGGAGCTGAACGCACGGTCGCGCGCTCCAAATACCCCGAAGATATCTTCCAGAACAACCACACGTCAGTATGGGGCTCATGGTGGAAGGACTTCAAGTGGGGCTACGCGTGCTGTCATTCCACGGTGAAGAATAGCTATTGCACGGGCGAAGAGGGACGACGGGCATGGGAGGCAAGCGAGGGGATGAGGACGGGCCAGTCACTATTGCAGATCGAAGAGAAAGACAACGGCGACAGCGAGACGACCACGGGACAGAGAAGATCCGTGATTGAAAGGAATACAAATGCAAACGCTACTGCATCCAACACATCTGCAACCGACAGAACAGAAGCCGTTCAAGACGACGAAGGGCAAGGAAGACCACGTCCCGAACAAGACGGCCGAGACGTCCGAGAGCGCCAGAAGGAAGTCGACGAAGCCGAAACCGATACGGCCACCAGCACCAGAGAGAAGGCGAAGGCGAAGGCGACGCAAACGTCGACGCACGCTACAAGTACCAAAAAGCGCACGCTGCAAGAACTCCAGTCTGGCATCTCAGAGGAGGAACTCGAGTCGTACAAGCGCAATCGCATGGCCGCCGACGATCCCATGGCCAAATTGCTGGGCAAGGACGAGTTGATTGAGTTGAAATGAAATGAAATGAAACGAGCGGAAGTGATGGCCACCAATGCAAGTACACAAGGGCTGGAAGAAAAGAAGGAATGGGTCATTCGGTCCGTCGCTCGGTCGGTTGACACGCGCGACATTCTCAAATTGATCCATCCAACCATCGTCTGCAAGCGTCATGATGTACCGAGTCATTTATTATATGGCACTACTGTACAGAGTGCAGAGAGTGCCAGGAAGCTCCGCTTTTCTCTGCCTAGAAACCTAGGTACCTGACTAGGAGGCGAGGGACAGACAGCTCTGGACCCTGCCTGCCTGCTTGCCTGCCTGCCTGCCTACTTACCTATGCCGCATCCAGGGAGCCATCCCTGCGATTCATCATGTACAAGGATGTCTTCTGTCTAGCGTTCAAGCGATCGTTATCGAGCAGTGTTGAGAGACATACACAGTACTCGAGGATGGGCACCGATAGGATGTAGGTAACATCGCAAAGCACACGAAGGACGTAAGGAGGCAGCAACAGACAAAACCATCAAATATATGAATGCCCCTCCTATTCGTTTCTATGCGCATAGAAATTCCCTTCGACCTACGTCTTGATGCCCTGCCTGACAGGTGCCTATTCCCCCTAATCAATCCACACAAAGCGCCCGCCAAATGCGAGTCCAGCAGTCTCTGACCGCATCCCACATACGCCTCCATGCATTCCCTTGCTTTCTTCTCTTGCCATTTGTCCATTCTCCCTCGCCCCCTGTAGCACCACTTGTACTCGGCGCACCGCCCGTGGCACTGTCCACGCTGGAGAGAGAAAGCAAGTTGGGTTCGATGAGTGCAGCAGTGCGAGGCATTCGTGGGTGGTATGTAGGAATGACTCTCAGGATCGGGGAAGTGAAGGCAGGAGAAAATTCCGTTTCACTTCTTGGATGGAGCTGAGCTGGCGAAGTCGATGTTTCATTGTTGGTCCGACCATTCCTTCGCATCGTAGGTGATACTCCAGAGCCGCCGCTCTGGAGAATGGAATTTTCAAGGTTTGTCCTCTCACAGGCCTTGTCTATTTCCCTCATGGCCCGCTCAATCGCGCCGGACTCTCTCAATCGACCCATGGGGTGCAACTCAAGATCACGGGAACCGATGCCATGACCGCTGGCGCGAGGGCCGAACCTCCCTCTCACTAATGTACCATCATCAGCTCGAGCAAGTGGGCCAGGGATATTAGCCCTGTAAACTCCACGAGGTAGAGATGCCCGAGGATTTGTAGAGGTTGCCCGTGGGGTTTCGACAATCGCCGACATGCCTATCGCAGCCAATGTTCGCTCAAAGAGGTCGACTGAATTTGAAGGACCAATAGATTGGTTCAGCGCTGACGCCCTAGGGGAACCCTCGGAGTTAGGGCTAGCTGTAGCTTGCTCATCGCTTCCGTCAAAGGTACGCCTCCAAATGCGGCCCCAGAATGACAGTCTGTTTGTCGGCTGCCGCTGTACCAGCCGGAGGAGTGTCGCCTGCTCGGTGCCGAATGGCGGCAAGCCAGGCGGTGTTGAAACCCTAACTGGTGGTGATTTGGGAGGTTCGATTGGAAAAGAGGGACGCCAGTCACCTCTATGGAGGCTCTCTTCAGAACCGGTGGAATTGGTAGAATTGCGTAATATGACATCCTGTCTCAGGACGGAGTCTAGATCGTTGACTGAAACTGAGCGATGACGGTACATCCTGACTGAAGACTGCAAGCTTTCGCGAGCTGAGTTGGACCTGTCAAGACGGATCGGATTGAAGGACACTCTGTGTTCAATTATAGGAATAAGCCTCGGCGCTGGCCATCTGCTGTGCGATGTGGAATGCCTACTGAGAGGACTCCGAGAAGAGGAAGGAAATCTCAAGGCTGAAGAAAGATCAGGCGCGTCATCCGGAACTATTTCTGCTGTCCAAGGTAGACTTTCACCTGAATGGACAGGTTCAGCATTATATATCGAATCCTCTGGGATCGACTCATCCGATGAAGCTTGTTCAGGTCTCAACGACGGTACCGATCGTATCCTGTGAACAACCTTTGGAACCGTGGCCGGGGGGCATTTCAAAGTGGATATCTCAACCATGACTTTGTGTTGAAATCTAGTTCAATACCGCAGCCGACCTTGTAGGGCATCCATGCGAGTGAGGCCGCCGTGCCAACGAGGGCAGTGTATGTAGTTGGACCCGAGCCGGCAGGAAATGCCAAAAGAATGTGTATCGTAAGCGATTGATGATTTTTGGCAGTCTGAAAAAGGTAGAGATAGAACATACATAGGTAACGATTGCCGGGTCGCGGAGAGCTCAAGAAAAGGACGTCGGAAGGCGACATGCTGAAGGAGGCAGCTGCGACGGAACTGTTTGGAGAGGGCCGAGACGGCAGTCGTTGATGATGCAGGCCTGTCATTACCATGTAGAGTTGTTCCTGAAGCCTTATTGCTTAGGTATACCAGACGCCGATTGTCCAATTGCAAAGTATTGCCAAAGAAATGCATAACATAGCCCTTCCCAATGCTCGTTTCCTCTATTGATACAAGTTCCAAAATTCAATATGCATAGCACGAGCCTAAGTGCCGGGGTAAGAGAGAAACGTTCCAAAATGTTGTGGGGTGTAGACCATTGATAGTGGTCGTTGATATGTCATAACGGTCGTTAAAAAAGCATCAGCGGGAATCCGCCGTTTCCATCGGCGTTGAGGGCATATCCTTCTGAGAGAGACGTTGCTGAAGATCTTTCTTCAGGCTCTTGATGATGCCTTCTAGGCGGCGTCTTTCTTCTTGCTCGGCCTAGGACACTGTTAGACACTATTCTCATGCGCGACCGCAGTCACTGCTTCATCTTACCTTGAGGACTTTGAGGTTCTCTGCTCGAGTCTCGCGCATCATTTTCTTGAATTCATTCTTCAAAACCATTGTAGACGTCGTTTCAGTGGGCGACGAAACCTTAGCACCAAGCCCTTTAACTTTCTCTTCGTTGAGTTGTGATTCGAGCGCTTCGCAGTGCTGTTGCAATGCGTCGACCTTCTCTTCAAGCCGCTCCCGCTCTTTTTCATCATCAATGCTTTGCCTCGTCATGACTTCGTACTCTTCAATGGTCTCTTTCAGCTCCCTCTGGAGAGCGGCGACCTTGTTCTGCAGCTCGGCACTCACTGTGTCTTTCGCCTCATGCTCCCTTCTCAGGGCGTTCACTTGACTTTCAAGCTCGTTGTTTCGCACATTCAGACCGTCAATTTCCTTCTGGATGGCCGGATTCATGGACACATCGGCCGCCCGCTGAGCCCGCGTTCCATAAGCGCCATCAAGTTCAGCTTTCACCACGGTCAGCTCAGTCTGCGCTCGGACCACTTCAGATTCGAGCTCTTGCATTTCCGCACGGAGTTTCGAGAGTTCTGACTCTGCTTCGGCCTTTGCACCGCTCAGCGCCTCCATTTGCCTGCGGAGATCGTTGGTCACTTCCTCGTGCGCCGCCTGAGCCTGAGCATGACTTGTCGCAAGGTTTGCTGCTTCCATGGACTGAGATTCCAGGTCCCTCCGTGTTTGCTGCATCTCCGACAGCAGCCGGCTATGCTCCTCTTGTTTGACCTGTAGCTCGGCCAGAAACTTTTCTTCCATCTCTTTACGGGCGGTGCGTTCAAGCTCAATGGCTTTGCTCTCATCAGCACCTCGTTCGTGTTCCAAGAGAACGCTTTGTTGCTTCGCAAGATCCAGTTCCTCCATGAGCAAATTGATTTGGTCACGCGAATGCTGAGCTTCTTGTTCGCCAATTGTTTGAGAGCGTTTGGACTCTTCTAGCTCTGCCACCAGTTCGTGGATTTTGGCATCACGCTGAGCATCGGACTTGCTGTTGAGTTCTCGTTGCTGTTGAATTTGGCGCGTCAAGATATCCTTCTGTTCGACGAGGGTCTCCACACGTTTGTTCAATCGCTCGATGACAGAAGAAGAGAAGGCCAACTGCGATTGAAGATCCTTCCCTCGGGGTTCATCCTGTAGCAGCACAGGGCTATGGCCGACAGAGTTTGTTCTTTCTAGCATGTCATGTAGTCGGAGATTGACATCCTCAAGTTGTTCTTCGGTATCAAAAATTGACTGCTGAACAGCTGCATTAGATCGAGCTTGGGCAGCTTCCATCGCGTCCAAGCCCTGCGACATGTATCCAAGGTATGCTTGGATTTGTGCATCAACGCCCCCTGTCATGTGGTCGTCGGTAGGCTGAGGAGGTGGATCGAAATGTTCTTGCAAACTGGCTTGGGTGATCATCAGATGCAGGCGGCGATTCAGTTCTTGCAGGCGGCTCACAACACTGTCAATAGCCCGGGATCCAGCTCTGCTCTTGTTCAAGCTGTGTGGAATCTGTCCAAATTCGGTGACATAGTCTGGGACCTGATAGAGACTCCGTTCATCAAAATCATCCCTGGCATCCAGTGCAGAACCTCGCCCGTTCGGCTGACTAGTCATACTTTCTGGACTTCGGGGCAGCTCATTCCTGCGAATATTCTTCTTCAGACCTCTGTGTGTCATCTGCAGAATACCAGCTGTGTGCTGCAAAATGCGTCTATCGATATGTTGAAGCCGATTTTCCAGCTGGGATAGCTCGCGCGAGAGTTCGTCCACCTTTTTCATACTTGCAGCGTATTCATCGTCTGCACGGTGGACCGCCTCGTCCCCACTTCGTCTGCTCCCAAGGATACTGCGTCGCGATTTTTTAGGTGAAGCTGCCGCGTCTGGGGATTCGCGGACCGAATATAGACGATTGAGGGACTGGGCGGCATCTCGCAGTTTGCTTTCCAGCGCCAGCTTCCTTCTCGTTGTTTCAATCTTCCCTCTCAAGAAGGCCCTCTCTTTCTTCAGCTGCTCCACCTCCTCAAATGACAGCACCTCGAATTCTCTGCTGTCACTAATTGCTGTCTCGGTCAACAGATGCATCGCCACAGGGTCATTGATGTTCAGAAGTGTTGAGTTTCGAGGGGCGCTCTGGGTTTTCTATTCTGTCTCAGCACCTCCACTCAGCTCGGGAGAAACAATCGAATTCACATACCTGCGCAAAACGGGCTGGGGGTATCTCCTGCTCTTCAAAAGGGCCTCGCAGTGCCGCCGACATGAAGTTGTGCCCCTGGCCGCTGCCAATTGCCGGCGAGTCGTCGACGGGCCCTGCACCGCTGTAAACAGAGCTGGGGACATAGCGGCTGCGGCCACCGTCGACGCTGTCGGCTGAGGATTCCCTCACACCATACTTGAAAGCCTGCATTCTGCGTCGTGTTTTTGTTGCGACGACTCGTAGAATCCCTCCTCTTTGCTAGGTGCAGATATCCAATACCTTCCAAACGCCCAATGCTACGGAAGAGAGATGATAGACGTCGCTGAGAAACGCTGCTTAGAGCTGAGCATGTTGTATGACTATATTCGGTGCCGAAGGATCTTGGGTGCTAGTTGTGAGGAAGAAGGGCAGGAAGAAGAACAACGGCAAGAGCAGCAGAGGCCTGAGGGAGGCGGCTTTCAGGAACGTGAAAACGGTCGTGCACAGCCAGGACAGAACACGCGCCCAGTCTTTTGATATCTTCTCAGGGAGAGCCAGAAACTCAGGGGAGCAGGGGTGCGTGCATGCGATGGGGGGAAAGCTGAAATGGGTCAGAGACGCGCATAAAGCCTGAGCCATCGCAGATGCCTCGAGGCTTGTTTAGGTCTGGTAAGGCGGGTAGCGACCCAGTCACTAGGCAGGGAGCCCTACTGGGTACAGTAGGAGCCCTGGTAAGGCCAACTCAACGAGGCGAGGCCACCACGTAAAAAGGTCGCCTAACGGAGCCAATCGTACCAGGGCTGGAGCCACGCGGACAAGCAATGCCGGTAGGGGCTGGGGGCCCACCAGGGCCACTTGTTTGTTGATCTTGGCGGTGACTTGGAATGCTGTTTGGGGGGTTCCCCAGGGGCTGCTGGAAGCTTCCTTAGTTAAGTATGTACAGTAGCTAGAGATTCGAGAAGGTTAACTAGCAGGCGAATTGAGGGAGCTACAATTAGCGCAGGGAATTAATGTACCGCGTACCTGAAAATCTCTTTGTGGACCGAGTATCTGTATAACAGACCATGACGGAGTACTGCTCGAAGAGCGATCTTCCTCCACTATGGGAGCATTCGGCACAGAGTACTCCGGATCCCGTACTCGCAACTCAGGTACATGTGTTCAAGGAATATTCTTCGGACGCGCTTGAGAAATTGGCAACTAACTCAGCATGCTGGTCCTTGCTGGTCGGGGTCAATTTCCTCAATGCGCCCATCAATCACCGCAATCCGGTAGTCCTTAGTACTCCCCAAGCAAACAATACACCCTGGCATACCCGAGATCGTCCAACATCCCCCTGACTCGATCTGTGAGATCCTTCCACACTCGATAGAGAGGTCAAGTATCCTGCAGCCTCGCGGCGCCAGCCTTGCCTCCCGTGTAAGCCACCCGAACTCCTTAATATGCAGCCCGGCAAATATCCGGTTCGGCCCCGGGGCTAGCCATATTGCGACAGAGTCGTATCGCAAGATTGCATTGTGAATCCATCGGCAGCGAATGGTCAATGAATAAGCAAGAACTTCCACCGTCTCTTCTCGATAGCGATTAACATCCATGGAATCTGCCGTCTTGTCTGGACATCCTGATACCTGAAGGCCCCGACAGCCGCCCGTGAGGGTCTTGTCTTCAATCTTCCATAGCTGATGCGTCAACAGCCTTAAGGGGTTCTCTCCTATCCCGACGTTGGCGCGTGACCTTGAGTGTCGGCTATCGAGGTCGGGAGCTCAGCGTTGTAGCAGATCTAAAACGATCAGCATGGGCAAACTCGAGCAGTCGAGCATCTCGCACCGAGAGGCTATCAGCGGCGAAGGCAGCTCGTCTCTCGACTCTCCAGGTCCGTCACTTGAAGACCGCCGTCAGGCCCCTGGTCCATCAACCCGGACATTATCACGAATCTCAACGACCTCCACCGTCGAATATAAAGTATATAATCGACGCTTCTTCGGCCTGGCCCAATTAGTCCTGCTGAACATTGTAGTCTCTTGGGACTGGATCGCATTTGCCCCCGTGTCCAAAACTTCGGCCAAGTACTTCGACACCTCGGAGACCAACATCAACTGGTTCTCGACAGCGTTTCTCTTTGCCTTCTGCGTAACAACACCACCTACCTTCTATGTCCTCCACAAGTATGGCACGAAGACTGCCATTATCATAGCCGCCTCCTTGGTGCTGGTCGGAAACTGGGTCAAATATGGCGCGACACGGGCAAACAACTTAGGCGGCGTCATGGTCGGCCAACTGATCATCGGCTTCGCGCAACCCTTCGTCCTGTCTTCTCCCACGAGCTACTCCAACCTCTGGTTCAGTCCAGCCGGCCGCACCACCGCCACAGCCTTGGCCTCCTTATCCAACCCCTTCGGCGCAGCACTGGGTCAACTCATCTCACCCTTCTGGGCGGACGAACCGCGCGAGATCCCCAACATGATCCTCTACATCTCCATCATCTCCTCGGTGGCGAGCGTACCGGCTTTCTTCATCCCGTCGAGACCGCCCTCGCCACCTTCGGCCGGTTCAGTGCCGGACCACATGGACCGCACCTCTCTGCGCAAGGATTTCCACACGCTCTCCCACTCGCCGGAATTCTACCTCCTCTTCCTCCCCTTCATCTTCTACGTGGGATTCTTCAACGCCTTCTCGGCGCTGCTCAATCAGATCCTTGAGCCTTACGGCTTCAGCGAAACCAACGCCGGCATCGCCGGTGCAATCTTGATCGTGGTCGGGCTCGTTTGCGCGGCCATCTCGAGCCCAATCATCGACAAGTACAAATTTTACCTCGCTTACGTCAAGGTCGCCGTGCCGGTGCTGGCAATCGGCTACTTGATCGTCATCTGGGCGCCGCAGTCCCGTTCTCTGGCGTACGTCTTCGTCGTCTGTGCCCTTCTCGGGGCTGCGAGCTTCGGCCTCGTCCCCGTGGCGTTGGAGTTCCTCGTCGAGATTCACTATCCTTTGGGCCCCGAATTGGGAAGCAGTCTCTGCTGGTGCGGCGGACAGCTTTTGGGCGGGATATTCATTGTCATCATGAACGCGTTGAAGGACGGTCCGGATGCGGATCCGCCGAAGAATATGAAAGGGGCCTTGATCTTCCAAGCTGTATTGGCCGTGTTGGTGATGCCAACTCCGATGTGTCTCGGGTTATTCGGTCGCCAGGGACGAGTGAGAAGGAAGAGGTGGGAAGCAGATCGCAGTACGCCAGACGAGGTGGTGCAGCGCTATGTGGACAGAGTGGAAGATGACGAACAGATTCTAAATGCGCCGGATGCCAGATTTGCCTGAGAAGTCCTGAGAACCGAGCGAGTTCGTCGAGAAACATATATATGTCGATGGAGGAAATGCAGAAGAAAACGGAATTTAGGGGAGCCGATGGCGTTTATACTACCGGGACGTATTTTACAATGACAGCCGGTTTCATAGTGAATAGCTAGAAAGCGATTACTTCAGAAACAATATTAATATTCAGAGCCACAAGCCTTGGCCCCTCAGGGAGGCGGTCCATTAAAGGGCCTTCTACATACCTCAATATGTACTGGATTACAGCTTTTAAGCGAGCCCCTCGCTTCATTGGTCACAAAAGTCAATCTTGCAACCGGGCCTTCACATGAGGCTGGCTGAATGAAGGAAGCGTTCTGGAATAGGAAAGTGTTGACACGGGACGGCACAGCCGGTGGAGCGCATTGGGTGGCTTGGCTTGAGAACTGAAGGGGGACACTCAGCCAGCCAAAGTTCTCCCTGCCTACGGAACATGCACCAAAAGATGGCGGCGTCGACAAAACGAAACACCCAAGCCAAACAGAGGATAGCTGAAAGTCTCTCTCAATTTGCCGATCCGTAGGGAGAAAGAGAAGGATGGAGAAATGAGAGGCATGAACAGGAACAGCTCTTTGACTAGTCCGTGAGATGAGAACTCTTCGGTCTTTTGATGCAATGATAGGTATATACAAGGCGTGTTGACTATGTATGAGCACAGGTCGATGCAGGAGGTGACCAGAATCCCCACACAAGGTCTCAAGGGTTGTATGCCCAGGAGCTGGGGAAGTCTTTCTCTGTCCACCCGAAGCATTTCATGGGAGCCTTGCTTGTGAGAAAGGTTTGTCCCTTGCTTTGAAGTCGTTGGTCGAGTTCAAAATTCATTCGATCTCGATGGCCGCCGGCGAGAAAATGGTCTATTTCAGCTGCTTGAAGAGTTTGGGTGCAGCGCACTGCGTTGCGCAGTGTTGGAGATGGAAAACTATTGCTGCGGGTCAGTTGCTTTGTTGTCTCGCCGTAACCATTGCCAGTCTCGTGGGGATAGCCCAAGGAGTAAGCAGAGGAAGACGTACACTCTTCAACACAGTTTTCCTTGGGGCCCTTGTGGTCGGGATCCTCCTCCTGTTGCGTGACACGCTCAACGCATTCGTCGAAGTGGTGCTTGTATCCCACACATTGAGCGGATCGGGCACAGTCTGCGTTTTGTTAATCTTCCCAGACATGCATAAGGCAGATTATAGTGAGGCGGCTCTAGTTCTGCTCTTCACGTCGCAAAAGTAGGTGTAGACGTACCTTCTTCCAGCTTTGGCTTAGGATCTACAGGTTCCTCTTCCTCCTCTTCCTCTTCTTCTTCCTCTTCCTCACCTCCGTCTTCGCCTCCTTCCTCCTCACCTTCCTTTGTGTCCTCAGTACCTTCTTCTTCTTCTTCGTTGCTTCCCTCGCTGCCCTCACTTGACTCTTCGTGGTCGTCTGCGGGAGCTTCGGCTTGAACCTCCTGTACGAAGGAGACGGAGCTCAGAAGGTCGGAAATGAAATCGGTGATTCCCATCGTGAGATTTCGGAGTGGAGTTAGGGATTCGGTGGAATAGATATATTACACTGGTGAGAGTACCAGACGGGATGGAGGCCACCCTAGAGACGTGGGGATGTAGTGGTTGTCTCGCAGAGTGTCGAAAAACCGCAACGTTGTGGAAAGAGTCTCAATATTCAATGTTCCTGAGGAAGCTCGAGCTTGGGCGGAAAATTACAAGGCCCCTGATTGGCCAGCTAGCTCTCAGACGCCAAGCCATCCCTGCCTACGCCGCCCAACTCCAAGTCTCATTCACGCACTATTATTACTCAGAAGCCCTCCGAAGTTGAAAGTGTATGATGTTGGAAGCTAACATACACAAAAGCAACCTTAGGTTCGTGTGAGTCTGGTCTCAGATCTCCAGATGCAAGAAGGACCGCTTTTGCTTCTAGCTAGAACGCTCTGCTACATGCCCCTCAACAATCAAGTGGTTTGCCAGATCTGCCTGCCATTGGATTTTAGTCCCGAGTCAGTGATAACCTCCGATCCAACTCAGCCTGGATGCTCTGCTGCTGTGTCTCTTCGTATCCAGGGGGGGCATCGCTCGGGGCCTGGGATTCGTGTGCCGGTGGTCCCTCTCTCCTCAGTTCGGGAGCCGCGCGACGACTCACCACAGCAGGGGAACCCACATCCTCACCGGTCGCACTGGATTCGTTCGGAGCTATTCGATCTTGCCCAGATTCGTGATATGAGGGCAACTGGTCAAGATGGACATTGTCCAGGTTCACGTTGCCCAAGAAGTTATCTTGGCGCGAGCCCGTGACGTTGCTCTCTCTCGCCGCGGACACGACTTGCTGAAGTCGTTCTTTAATCTGCTCAAAAGTTGAATGAAAATCGGGTGCTCCGCCTTCCTTGAATGTCAACTTAAGTTCAACGGCAGCTTGCGTTGCCGGGATGTTGCCGCCGGGAACCGGCTGGAGGATCGCCTGCCATGCATTCGGACCAAACCATGGAACGGTAAGGTGCGTGTCGTGCAGATTGAGAAGCGGTGCGGAGAAGGACTTGAACTCCGGGGTAGATTTCTCCGGTAGATACACTATCTATGCGTGGCGTCAGAAACGACTTCGTCCGGAAAGATATTCGTTCTATGTGTTACCCTCTGATTGGTCAGATAGACGGTGCCAGAGCTGCAATGGATTGCCAAAGGATTGTTTCCCGGATATGTCGATGGTGTGGTGATAGCGAGACTAATTCTTGGTGTTGACCTGTGGATGATCCTTTCTGATGGCAACGGGACAAAGCCTCCTTTGCCATCTAGCATAACCCAACTTGACATCATTAGCTCAGACATTATAGTGAGCAACGTACGTGGGGGCATACTTGATGGACATGGTTTGTTTTGTGTATCGAGGATTCTTCTATAACGAGAGATGTGTATCAAATGTGCCTTTTCTGCCGGAGGATACGTCTGCTTCAAACACGACGACAAGGACGACCGTATGGCCGGGGAAGATCAAGTTGCATTCATGGTGAACAACAGCAGGCTGAGACAATCATGTGTCAGCTCTTCAAGTAATACGAGTGATAGTGGTGACAATAAAGGCCGCGTGAAGAGTGAGTGATCATGTGTGAACACCAAGAGGCAGCGAGGGCAGCTTCTCATTGTGAAGTGCGGGACAGTGGGAGGTGGCACATCAAGCAGCGCCAAATTCTGGAAAAAATGCTCATACGTCACCTCCGTATCAGGACAAGGGCGACGCCGCCCTAACAAGCGCACTTGGACTGCCGCCCATATGTTGCCTGCGCCATCCTCGCCGCAATGGCCTCCCTTAACATCACACATTGAGGATGGGATTTCACATATGAACAACATATCAGGGAGATTATTACCTGTAAATTCTCATGCAATCGGCAGCACTATCCACCTGGCACCCTTCCATCCGCAGCGGAACGTCTCCTTCGGAAGCCCAACCCAGATGAAATGTGTTGACAGGGTCGCGAGAGCGTCACTGGGGCAAACCATCTGAGACGCTAGGTGCTTCACCAACTGCGCAAACTGCCTCAACCTCGTTGTTCCTGCAGACCTGTGATAGGATGGCGACGGAATAGGAGGTTTCAGGAATGCTCTTATGGTTACAGGCCAATGTATATATAAACAGGCAGAGTTTCTCTGAATAGCCAGGGGGACAGGACACAATCAACCAGACAGATCCACCACTCAACCTTCGTTCAACAAAATGGTTGTATCTCCATCAAAGAAGACCTTGTCAATCACACGCAATTTCCAAGAAATATTGTGACGGCCCCAATCAAAATGAGAGACCTTCAGAACATAATGCGGCTGACCCAATAACACGTCTCAAACGTCTCGAGGCTCGCAGTCGCAGGTCATTCTGGGGTCACAGCGCCCAAGTATATCAGAATAATACACCTTTCACCGTATGGGAGTCACGACAGAGTCTCCAGATCCCGCCTGGATTAGGAGCATGGGTCACTATGGCAGAGTGAAATACAACCTAGGGACAGTGGTGTTGCAGAAAGCATTGGGTCACAAGATCCACCGCGGGATCTGGTAGCGGTAAGGAAAATTTCCCCTCATGATGTGGACGACAAACTTCGGATCATTCAATAGATCTGATATGGCAACCTTGTGTCTCTGCGCGAGATTTTCTCGTTCGAAGATGCCCCCGATTTTGATTTTGGGTATTTGCTCTTTTCCGTTTCCTGCATGGGGCGTCAGTCCGTTGATTGGGATTCGGGCATGATCAATATTGAACAAAAGAAACAGCCGTCGTTGGCAAGACCAGCCAAGGTCTCATGATAACCCAAAAGGGCAAGCATATGTATATTGGTACATCGCGTTCTTCCACCTTTATGCTTTCACTTGCCATGTCTTTGCCTCGGATGCTACAGTTTCTGGTATTACTTCTGCCAATGTTGGGGCGGAAGGCTTCCAACTCAGAGTCTGCTGTGCTCTGCCTGATCTAAACACGGCATTGGTACCCCACAGAACAGCTCCGTGAGACGTCACTTTGTTGGCCTCGTCAACGTCGATCGTAAGTTCTACCTTCGGGCTTTTGAGCAAGCGTTGTTCATGCGCTGCTGAAGCAACGCGTTGGCACACTTCGCCGAAAGTCTGAGCCACAGTCAGCACATTGCTTCGGATACATGCGGAAGGTTTACATGCCATGGCACCGGGACCTGGGAGATAGATTCCCTGTTCGTTCCAAAATTGGGACTTGCCCTCGACAGCAGCTTGCGCCAATAACAAGAACAGGTCACCAAGATCGCGAATGTGGATATTGCTCCATTGATTGAGACCATTCAACAAACGGAATCCCTGGCCGTATTTCAACGTTGCTCGGGCAATTTCTGGTACCTGGACGCTCCTTTGATTCCCAGGTCCAGCTCCCTGGCCGTAGATCAAGGGACCAACAATCAAAGCAGTTCGTATAACGGACGGATCTTGAGCCACAATGAGGTTGTCCACCTGTCGTGATGGATTGTTTCGAATGAAGGCGAGGATCTTTTGAGAGTCTTTCACATCATCATACACTTCGTCTGATGGCTCGCCATATCGACCTTCCTTGATCTCAGGGATTGCAAAGAGTGAAGCTCCTGACATCTGGATCCAGTATGCTGCCTCATTCTCAGCCAGGATCCGTCCACCTTCCTGATTGAAACTTACATTTTGAGCCGGGGCCTTTACTGGCAAGGCCTTTAGCGATGGCTTGTGCGCTTCTAGTATGATTTGTACTTGCCAGATCTGATGGGAAGGTCAACAATATTGACACAACTCGAGATGCAAAAGACTCACGCAAGACTATGTCCGCCTGGCGGCTTTCTTCCTCGAGCAGCCCGACATCGTCTAGATCGCCAAGCACTGTCTGAACATGATCTGGATACCTATCTCGGACACACCGCGCCTTCTGATTGTCTCGCACTAGGCAGGAAATCACTGCTCGCGATTCCGGAAACGACGACGCAATTGAATGCAACGCTTGGCCACCGATATAGCCCGTGGCCCCAGTCCTTGCTCGATTAGCCTTTCATCAATACTACTCGACTGACTCGATTTGCACCTACAAGAATATTCTCACCATCGTTGCTTTTGTGCCTTTGTTCCTTTTGGGATGTAGCGTGTCAGACTCGATAATCGTGACGGGAGGCTGTGTATGCACAACTATCTTGCAATATGGTCAAGCATTTCAGACCACTCTATAAGCTGGAATCTGTCAAAGGGTGGCTGGAAAGACAGTCCAACCTCTGGAATAATAGTGGATATAATTCCTCTGTTTGCGCCTTGGACAGATGAAGGACAACTCCGTCAACCATTGCAAATCTCTTGACTATTAAAACCTGCTTCCGCCAATCAGCGGTTGCATTATCAAAAGAAGCAAGCAATCCCGAGCGAGAATCCAAATCCGGACGAGAATAATTGTCGTGGCAACTTTCTCCCAACAACCACTCGGTCAACGAATGGCTCCCAAACAGCGCAACAACGTCACAGAACAAAGCATTCTCCGCTGGGGCAGAGCCGGACCTCGTCTTTATCGCTCGAAACTCTCCAGCTGATGAGATTCCACCAAAACCGACCCAATACCCAGAGCCCGAGGGCGTCACAGCATGAAAACAGGTGGCGACAACAAGCGTACCCGGAGTCACACGTTCGGTGGTTGCAAAACCTGCCGGAGGCGCCACGTGAAGTGAGACAAGGTCCGGCCTACGTGTCTCACTTGTAGGGCTGTTGGCACAACTTGTAAGGGGTTCAGCCAGCAATTGAAATGGGTTGAAAGCCCTGCAGATATGGTGGTAACGAGGCCAACGCCGATTCGACAGGGTACTTAGTGACGCAGTACCTATATACAGGTAATTGTCTGGCGAGTGAGATTTCGGCAGAGCCATACTAATGACGTTCCTTCAGAAGCAAGTCGGGAGTCGATGAGCACAACTTTACGTTCGGACTTAGCTGAAAAGCCAATTGACGAATCTCTTTCGGAGCTCGACGCCAGATACCAAGATGGCCCCTTAAACACTGGTAATGGTCTGGCAATCGGGCCTTTTAGGGTTTTCAGTCTTGGTCACCTACCTCATGAAAGCTTACCTCGCCGCGACTCGCCTCAGCCGAGGGCTGAGCGACAAGCCATTGATGCCTTCCAAGGAGAGAATGCCTTACCATCTGTTGAATCTGTTGGCAGCTTAAGTGACATGCACAATTTTTCTGGACTGGCCCGATCTTTTCAATCTTGACTTAACAAGCTGCGAGATATTTCCGCAGACCTCGGACAGTTATTTTCAAAGAGGCTTTCCTTGGCGATGCTCCTGCGGTGATGCAGATCAGCCAGGGCAGTAATCACGAAATTGAAAGCGGCGACAGCCATCACGATGTTGTCTCTAACTCTTTCACTTCTATATACCGTGAGAAAAGACCGACTTATCACCGAAATAGACGCCCCCAGAAGCGCAACTATTTCTCACTCACTTCAAGGATTATGTCATTTCTCAAATCCAGATTATGCCCATCGACAAGAAGTCGCCATGGGAAGCCAACAATTTGAATGCTGCTATCTGACTTTGGCGAGACTGACTTACACGACTTCACAACTAGTATCGCACGCTGCCCTAGCCAATCTGCAGGCACTATTGCTCCTCTCTGCAAGACACATGGCAGCTCAGAATGCGAATTATGATGAAGTTTCTGCAAGATACTGGCAGAGTTTCGCAGTAAGGATCATTGAAAAAGCGAAGGAAAACTTGCAATACTCGTTGCGGCGCGAGACCAGAGGTGCCAATGCCGCCAAATATAAAGACCGACGTATGGCAACTCTCGCCATGCTGACATATGCCGTAAGTGCTCACACTAGACCGCTCTTTTTGCTAACGCCGCGATAGACTCTGCACGATAATCAACAAGATGCCTGTGCGTTCGTGATTGATGCTGAACGGTTACTTCGCGTTCGCAGATTGGCAAAACGAACCATTTCACGAAAGGCAATGGAATCGTATCATATTATACATGGACCGGGATAGTGGAAGAAAGTACTTTCGTGCTGCGCAAGTATGATACGACCAGGTCGAAAGTGACTGTTGAATCTATGAGACAATCGGTCAAAGACTTGCAAATGGATCAAGCTCGAGGGACCCGATCGCACGCTCAGCATCAAACAGGGCCCTATCCTCGCCTGGACGACTTTCCTCGACTCGAAACGCCAACTTCGGACAGCGATATCGAAGCTGTTGCGGAAAAGGATAACGAAACCGGACAGCATGGTATGCCGAGCTCTACGGAATTCGGGAGACTTGGTTGAGCCTAGTGTCTCAAACCAAGAGATTAGCAAACGTCATTGAGAGTTTGGAGGTCGACAAGGAAGGACACGATATCAGATTCACGGAGCTCCTCGAGAGACGAAAGCAGCGATTGGGAAATATGGTCTGTTCGTTCGCGGCGAGAGACCGTCAGGATGTTGTTGACCAAGCGCCTTTTAGCTTGTCAAAACTAAGAATGGAGATCGCCCGTAATTGCATGGTCCGCGCATTAAATTCTGCCCCGGTGATATCCTTCTATCGGAGGATTAGAAGGGCCCACCCGGGGATTTTACAAGAACATGTGAAGAATGTCATTCAGGCCTTGAAAGACTATGATTCCTCGTGCGGGGACGCTAATATTCAAGGAACCGGATCTCCCTGGCCTGCTTTCCATGGCCGGGTGCGAAGCGCTCCAATTCTCACAGAGTACTTGAGCGATCGGTTCGATAGAACTTTTGCTGTAACAGGATTTGCAAGGCTCAAAGCAGCGAAAGTTTGCCTAGAGGAAGTATGGAGGCGTCACAACTAACCTATCATTACAGGAGGTAGGAAAACTTGGGATCGGGCTCGGACATGGGAACAAATTTCGAAAGAACGGAACTTGCATTTCCTGCTGTCATGAACGTCACCATCTGTCCCATTGCCAGCTTTGACGATCTGGAACCGTGTTTATGAATTAATAACCTTCAACCCAGCACTCTGCAAAAGTTTTGCCAACTCTGCTCGCGGTTCACCTGTAAGCAACTTGAAGGGCATCCTTACTCCTCCAGTCGGATAGCCGAGCATTTCCATCCCCGTCTTAACAGCAGAGGGGTTATTATACTCCTCTAGGAACTAGCAAACTGGGTATATCTTCGACCATAACTCTCGACCAGCTTTAAGATCGCCCTTGACAGCCAAGGTAATCCATAAATGGGCCGAAATCTCGGGAATAATATTTGAGGCACCCCAAATCAAGCCTTTGCACCCAGCTGCCAGCCCATAAAACGTTAGAGTGTCCCATCCATTGAAGGCAGTGACCTGTGTCGCCCAGAGACAAGACCAACTCGGTGAATGCAGGGGCGTTGCCTGATGTGTCCTTGAGGTATTTCACGCCGACCCGGGAGTGTCGGGGTCAGTCTCGATGCTGAGGGAGTATTGTAGTAGACCGTATCCAGATTCGAGGCCTCATGGATTTCCGACAGGCGCTGCTGGAGCTGTTCATAGTTGACTGGATCATGAAACGGCAGGACAACCATTAAAGCAGCCGGCCTTTGCAGCACGCTGGGCCAGCTCGATGCAGTCCTTGGTCGTAGTGGTGCCAATTCCGCCGACGACAGGTACCCTTCTGGCGGCATATTCAATACAGAGCTCGAGATTCTGTTTTCTTCCGCCCAGGGTCATGCCTGTGAGCTCGCCCGCCGTACCACCAGGCACCAGGCCGTGACAGCCCGCATCCACCATATGATCAATATGCGATTTGAGACGTTTCTCGTCGATAGCGGTGCCATCGTCGGTGAACGGCGTGATCAATGCCACGAGAATGTCTGTCAAGGCTTTGACTGCGGAAGACATTTTGACGATAGTGTCTTTGAAAAGTGTTCGTGAGCTAGACAATGAATCAATCTTTCGACTATGTGGGAAACTGTTGTGGAACACGATCGTATCAGGAAAGGAAAACAAAGTCGATTCAAACTCGACTCTATGTGGTAACTGAAGGCTTTTGATGTTGCGGTATGTCTTCACATTACTGGTAACCTCAAGGAATCACCTTCTCAACGTGCAAGACGCTCAAGCTAAAGACAAGAAGGGAGCATGGTGTCTGGACGCTCCCAGCCTACCCAATCGCAATTTATAGGTTTGTTGATACCTCTTTCGGATGTACGAGGTATGTTATCATAGTTAATGCGGCCCACACTGATCTTAACCATCACGACTTTCGTTTTTGGCACTTTCCTTTTTGTAAGTCTGACCACCAAGTTTTGCACCAACCCTGTTTTACACCACGCGTTCTACCACCCCACCACCTCTCTACCAACTCAATCAACCAACTACCACTCAACCAATTCGCCTTTAATCACGCGTAAATGGCCTCGAATCGAGAGGCTAGGATCCAGCAAGCAATCTCTGACTATCAATCACGTCGATATCCTAGCATTCGCGCAGCCGCGGCCGCGAACGATGTCCACCACTCCACGCTCGTCCGCCGACTACAGGGCACTCAATCGGCCGCGTTATCCCACGAACCACAGCAGATATTATCAAATATACAGGAGGAACTATTAAAGAGATGGATACTCGACCTTGAGGCACAAGGACATCCTCCTAGCTATTCCACTGTGCGAGATCTCGCTGGTGTAATTAGTAAGGCAAATGGCGGCCCTGAACGCGTTGGAATTAATTGGCTACCACGGTTTATTCAGCGACATCCTGATATCCGTTCAAAGGTAGGCAGGAAGATCTGTGTTAAGCGCGTTAATTGCACACTTCCTGAGCTTCTGGAACAATGGTTTCAGGATCTACAGACGATCAAAGAGCGATATTCAATTCAACCTCGACATACCTGGAATATGGATGAATCTGGATTAGCCCTAGGCGTTTGCAGCAATTAAATCGTTGTGGGAACATCTACAACCACCAGTTCATTGCAAAAATCGCCCGAGACACGCGAATGGGTAACGCTCGTTGAGACAATCTCGGCCCTTGGTCAACGTCTACAGACGCTAGTCATCTTCAAAGGTCAATCGCTTCAAACTACTTGGTTCGACGAGTCTAGTCCAGATTATCGATATACAACCTCTCCGAACGGCTGGACATCAAACGAAATCGGACTAAGCTGGCTAGATCAGATCTTTCTACCTCAAACAACTACAGAAGGGACTACTCGCGGCGAGTATCGACTTTTACTACTGGATGGCCATAAGAGTCATGTTACGCACGAGTTTATGTGGAAATGTCACCAAAATAACATCGTGGTGTACTACTTACTACCCCATTTGAGTCACATTCTTCAGCCACTTGATCTTGCTTGTTTTTCGCCAGTTAAGTCTCGTTATCGAGCGCAGATCGCTGATCTAGCTAGGTTCGACGATGCAAGCCTAGTAAAGAAAACGAGGTTTCTACAGATCTATCAGAAAGCTAGCCAGGAAGGTCTCAGTGTCGCCAATATCAAGTCTGGCTGGAACGCCAGTGGTATCTATCCATGGAATCCACGGAAGGCAATTCGATCGAATCTCGTTCTTACTAGCGCCGTAACCAACAAGATTACGCCACAAACACCACCTTCTCGCAAGCGCAAAGTCCTCGATAGCGATGTCTATCTATCGCCTAGTAATAGACGAAATTTCAGCGATTCAGTTCACAGAGCAACACATCAGGAAGGGATCTCAAGGCCACTGAGAACCTTCCTAGGAAAAACGGCTAAACGACTCGATCGTTTACAGTGGGAGAATATATAGAAGGATAAACAAATCGCTAGGCTTGAGTCTCAACTAGAGCGATCGAAGGCCAGGAAACAAAAAGGCAAGGCAATTAATGCCAACGAGACCTTTGCTAGCATCGAGACTATACAGCAGGCCAAAGAGGCATGGGCGACATTGAGAGCGACAACGACAACGACGCGGAGGACTAGGCAGTCTATAAACAACGGGAATGGCACGTCTAATGACCCAATCGAGGCGTTCACACACGTGTTCCACATCAACGATAGTGTTAGTTGAGTAATTGAGACTTGTTCTGTTACGGTCGCGATTCGATTAGGTGGTGTAAAACGGGGTTGGTGCAAAACTTGGTGGTCAGACTTAAGCGACCGTCCCGGCCAGGCAGGTCTTTCCGTTTAATGTTTGTCTTAACTATAAATAGTAGGTTGGCCGATCACGTGACAATCTCCGCTTGGTTTTCCACCCGAAATTCGAGACCTTCATCCAAAGTAGCGGGAGTTTCCGGCACTACTACTATTACCTGTCGTGCCAGATCATCCAAGGGTCTACAATAACATGTACCGTGTCCTATTTGGCGAAGACTTCTGCGAGTTCGGACTTGTGTTCTGGTCAGGCGATGTCTCTCATCACCACACTCTTGGGTATATACTAGTATTGCAGTGACTAGGCTAGCGGATGGGTGCCTCAGACCGAACAAACATGCTAGAAGTAGTAGTACCTTTGAGTCGTTACAATTAAGGCTGCACATTTCTCTACACTCTACAGTTTCAGCGGAATACAATACTAGTACTAGTATCGTTAAGGTGGCTAATCGACCTCCACCACATGATTCCAATGTGTTTGTCATTGAAGATCTGGAGGCTTTGGGTGCCAAAAAGCTACCGAAAGTGTAGAACCTGATCTGAACAATCGGCCCTCTGCTGGGAAACTCAAGGCTGACTGTTCCACGACGAATACTTCAACGAAGGTGCTATGGACATGATATCGTAAAACTCATAACAAGCCTCCATCATGTAACACATACTTAGTACCTCGTACTCTGACAGCCATCAGATTTCGTGACAACATCGCGGCTTATGACAGGTATCGAATTCTGCCACGAGCTTTGCGGAACGTTTAATATACTAGTATTGATACTTCCACAATACTTAGTAGTACTTAGTCCTAGTATTCTTTGGTCAGAAGGTACTAGTGAACTGGGGCGAGGCTACTAGCCATGGGCATCAACTCGTACGGCGGTGGGTATAGCCTCTTCTTGACGCGCACACTCAACTAGGGGAAGTCCTCTCTGTTGGTAACTTGGTTGCTTGTCTTCTATGAAAGATAGTCCCCCAGAACTATATAAGAAGAACCATAGTCTAGGGTCGGCGCCCCAGCCAATCATAACGCTATCCACCACTTCCAACTTCTCCCATTACACTAGTACTAGGCGAGAATTCGTTGCTACTTCTATTTACAACGGAAGACCCTTAAAACGAATCCGAGACAATTCAGTGCCAACTTCTCGACTTAGTACTATAGGTCACATTCCCGTCCGGCATCGGCCCATCAGCCATGCACAAGTTGGCGCACCCCGATGGTGAACTGGCAACTTCATGAGCAGCCGCGAGCGTGAACGTGAGTATGTGTCTTTCGTCCTACGCCACCACGTCCCTGGAAGACGTGGCCAATCAAGGGCGAGGCAATCCACATATGATGTAGATGTGCGTTGTGAAAGACCGGAGCAGAACCAAACAGCTTCTAGAGAGGGCTGAAGGTCGGTAGTCGACGACTCCGTCCCATTTTCAAATACTACCACTATCCGCGGCGCTGCTGGCAAGGGTGGAATGTTCCCAAAGGTGCTGGCCACAAGGCCCTGGTTTCTCTCCGTTGACGTGCCTGTCCCTGGGACGTCGTCTCAACGAGTTCCGCAACGACTTCACGTTCCCCGAGGATCCTAGCTTTCCCAATATCCTCTCCACTGGCCATGACGAGTTTGCAAAGGGCGCTGCAAGATCGCAGGACTACGGTAAGCTCCAAAATCGAGAACTGAAGAAGTCGTCCCGCCCTTTTGCTGTTTAACAGTACTAGGACTACTAAGTACTATTTATCAATACTGGTAGTTCTTGTCTATGTAGATGCAAGTCTGGAGTGGGCCGAAATTATCCCCTAGATGAGAAAGGCGACCAAGATGCAGATTTGGTTGAAAGGCGGTAAGTAGACAGACCACAGCACCAGCAACCAACCGGCAAGCCCATGCAATCAATCTACAAAAAACTTGAAGCTAACAACTGAAACATCTTGCACCTACTACTAAGTCCTTAATCCAGCGGACGTTCAACTCGCCATTGACCACGGAGTGGATGGTGTGATAATTAGTACTACTACTAGTATCCAACCACGGTGCCCGCCACCCTTGACTGTTTAAGGGAGTGAGAACGAGTAGGTTGGGGTCGAATTCAGATCGCAGTTGATGGGGGAATCCGATGTGGTTCAGACATCTTCAAGGCCATCGCCCTCGGGGCACAACACTGTTTTGCTGGCTGGATAGCAATCTGGGGCCTTGCAGTAACTTGAAGTGGTTGTTTTCTCATGTGACGCGCCAATGGGCCAGTCCTGAAATCCATGTTTTGCTAATTAAATCGGTGCTATTCGTTGAAGGATGGTGGACAACAGGGAGTCGAGCTGGGTGTGAGGCTTCTCTTGGAGGAGTTCCGAACGACAATGGCACTTGCAGGGTATGCATACGCATTTGCCTGTTTAGTACGGCGTCTGTACACTCACTAACCAAAAACCGATACGGCGGCAGATGTTGCAGAATTAGTGAGATCACACCTGACCACCTTACTTTCGTTGGACGCGGCGGACGGCTTCACAAGTTGTAGATCCGCGTTGAATCAAACCTGGGGCCTGAGCTTTCTTGGAGAAAGTCACATTACATACTATCTAAAGTAATAGATTAGTTTCAGTGCTCATGGGTTTGCTGGTGGTGCCTACCTACTTGGACGTGAGTCCTAAACGAGAAAGAGCTGACGTAGGGGTGGGTATAGGCTAGGCAACTTTAGGAGATTTTCGTGACGTGCTTGCCTTCAGCGAACACTTTAGTTCCCTGAATTTCGAAACTGCTAGTATCGCAATCGCGGTCACCAATCCATGAGAACCCCGATCCTAAAATTGATCTGCTACGGACTTTCTATACTACTACTATTTATCAATAAGTTTAAACTTCAATAATTTAGACGTCTTCAAATCGAGCAATTATATTGGTAATATTGATCCTTCCCTGATCATTCTCTAATCCCTCTTTAATACGATCGTGTAGAGTATAATATTGCTATATCAATAATACTCTTCAAAAAGCTAAAAAAAAAAAAAAAATTCGATGGCGATGAATACTAAGATAGCCTTACTAGCTATTCAGTCATTATTATGACACCTAAAAAGGCAATACTTCACCTCGCGGTTATCTACTATAGTGCCCGCCTCGTGTTAAACCGAGTCCAGCCCAGTTCCAGCCAAGTTCTAGCCCGGGCTGGGCTCGATTTAAGGGGTATATAGGTGAGCGAGACTGGGAGATTGGTTCGAACTAAGCCGGATCGATTTAAAATCGATTTAATCATTTTATATATTTTTGTATAATTATTATATATTTTTTTAGTTACTACAAAATGTTATGAAATTAAAGATTTCTACTTGATGTACGATCATACTAATATTTAACATAAGACTAGCACTTAAGAGATAAAAATTAAAACTTTGAGAAAAAGTGCTGCCGACTGGGATTAAACAATTCTATTTTATTATTTTACTAGTAATAGTAAACTAAGTCGAATTAGTTCGAATCGATCTAGAATCGGTCTCAGACCGGGCTATAACAGAGTCTGATGCTTAAATCGCTGATCAGGCTGATTCGAACCAGTTCGAACCAATCTAACACCCGTAGAGAAGGCGATATAGTACTAGTACTGTTTAACCGTGAGGTGTGGCGGGCTGGTATTAATTATTGACACATCTTACTCGACTTCTAATTTAAGACCTTGACTGAAAGATCGCTGCGGTCAGCCCGGCGGCTCGTGGGAGAACTCTAAAGTAGTATTACCGTGTGCGAAGGACGCAGCCGAGGCTGTCACCCATACCAAGGTGTAATTTTGAATGACTTATGGAGGATTCTCTGTCTCTCAAGACCCGCGCAGATGTTCGAGCTCTTCAGTGGCAAGACTTACGGTGGGCTCGTAGTCTGAAGTAGTTGTACGGCAACGGGACCAAGAAGCCTGCCAATGCCGATGTTGCAGCAGCCACCCAAAAATATGGACTTTCCAAGTCGACGCAACCACCCGTAAGACCATAGTCGACGGCATTTTCAGCTACTTCCATCGCGAACATAGATATCATGCTCATCCCTGTCGCCGTCCTGGCAGCGACTCTCAAAGTGAGTCGATCACGACCAAGGTGAAGCAGGGCTGTCTCGAGAAGAATCGAGGTCATGATCCCTGCTGCCACTGAGTCCAGCGTCAGTGTCATTTCGAGCAGCGGCTGGGGAAGAGGAACTCACTCGACAGTCCCATGGTCGTCACTGTGCCGAGTTCTGGATGAGCAGATTGGAGGTACCACATAGTTGAGAAATCGCCCGTTGTGCATCCAACGAGGCAACGCAGGGTATTGATGGTGGACCTCTTCCATATCGGCTTGGATGACCAAAATCCATCACCCGAGACGGCTGTAGGAGTTCTTCCCTGTGCAGTACAGCACGGTTTCTTGGCGGTCATGATTCCACGGTTCCAACTAAGATAGCCATGTGGAGGGCAGGAACGTGCAGAGCTGACAGGACTCGAGAGTATTACCTTGGGGATCGAAGCCGTTATGAACTCAGTCGACATCGCTTTTGGTTTGAGTAGAGGTAGCATCTTGGGGAGTACTAGTATTAAGGTGTAGGAAGCGAGGCTTAATGGCACCCAGTTCCCTTGTTGGGTCGCCGCAAGGCCTTGGCAATGAGCAGGATCACGAGCGACAGCGCAGCCCGTCTCAATGATCGTCGATTGATGTTACCGCGAACCAGATCGTAGTAGCTGATAATGATTAAGGTGATGGCTCCAGACCATGAGCTTAAGGGGTGCGCCAAAGATGAAGTGGCGACCGGCAGGGCGGCAAGGTCCAGCAAAGCCTACACCCAGGGCCGCGGTTAGTCTGTTGCTTGACGATAGAACATACAGTGAAAGAGCGCATATCACCTACCGGCAACCAGCAACAGCAACGGTAAAACAACACGCGGACGACCAGTGGGAGCCAGAAGTGGTCTGACTTAGGCCGGTTTAGCTGGTTCGGTTGCGTCGCAGGAGGAGGGCAACAGGAAGGCATCAATAACAGAATATGACAATACTAGTTTGACAAGATTGGGACAAAGACCAGGAAATCAGCCAGGCTGCGCCGCATCTACATGGGGCCCTTGTAGTATCTATAATGATGGCAATCATTCAGCGCAGGATTAAAGGGGCTGCCGAATCACGCACAATTCCCGCACCGGAGTGTTCATCGTGACCCATATCTTGGGACTTCTGGGCAACGCTTAGCACTCACTACCTTTCCGCCGTCGATCGTGTAGGTACAGTACTAGTCACCCTAACCTGCAGATAGGGTTTTCGCTTCCTACGCATAAGTGCCGCAAACCCCTGCCGGCCGAGAACCGCTAGACTTGATCGGGGTAGTCCGGTCACATTGTCACTGGCGCTTTGTGCATCGTTCGTGTCGAGTAGAGACAGGTCCAGAAGAGTAGTAACGATCGGAAATATTAAGATGCTAAGTTAGATTCTTCTGGGATCCCCCTAGGTTCCTCTATCTATGCATCCTTCACTGCCCGTCCTGGATTTCGAGGTGCTGGAACGCTCAGACAGCATCACCTCTAACGCTGAAGTCTCACTCAGTTGGGGGTAGGAAACTCGTGGCATTCGTTGTTGACGGGCTGAGTGATAGTACTCCTGCGTTGACGGCGTCGGACGTGTCTGTGTCGCTTTCATCCCGGAGCGATATCGCCATCAACGCATCATCTTTCATTCCAATTTTGCACATCACTGAGACGCGTCTTCCGGAGAGTGAGGCTCGACATTGTCTGGACTGGGAGCTACAACATCACCCTGATTCTGGTCGCAGCTGGAGTGTTCTTCGCCGTTGGATCAACCGACGAAAAGGGTGGCTGACGAATGAGTCCCATGTGGGCCGTTGTGACTTTTTTGGGGGGAGGGGTTAGTGTCTCTGTGGTGCCCAGTACTACTACTAGTCCAGCGTTGAAGTCGCCAGAGGTTAAGTGACCGTTCAAGAAATAGACAGGGTCATGGTCAGTTTTTTGATGAGGTGGATACGATGCTTTGAATAGTGCAAGGGTTCAACACATTGCATAATGGCGCCTGGGAATGGCTCATGGGGTGTTTGGTACATTGGAAATGTCAAGATTACTAAGTTTCAACATGTGAAGGCCGCAGAAAATACTAGTAGGATGGTGCTGTGGTTAGTCACATAGCAAGGCAGAGAGCCTACCATCATGCTGGCTGCAGATGGGAGGTTGAAGCAACCTATGCATCACGGAGACAACGACAGACGGTGCTAGACAATTTGATAGTACTACAGTGCTGGCATTCAAGCCATTCGTTTACAGATTGAGTAGAGGATCCTGTACCTTTTGTCCTCGACAGTCTCTCTCTATGATTGAATGCTACCGCCATCACCCAGCTAGCCGCCGCGTGGCCTAGTCGCCGCCTCTGCCGTGTTGGTGGTGGTGATTCTGTCTTGGCCTCAACCGGAAAGGCGTTCTCGACTCCCGATCTGCTGGACAGGGCTCTGTGCGTTGTTGTTACACGTGCAAGCCGAACTCTGAAGTGCTCCGATACAATATAATGATAGTGCTCTGTGAGCTCCACGCGCTCCAGTGCTCTCCTCAGTAGAGCCTATAGAGCCAATGAATGATCCAGCAAGGTACTAGTATCTTACGTGATTTCAATTCTGCTGGTCAAGATGTCAAATGAGTGTAGCGAGTCACGCCCGCACAACTCGTGATCGGTCTTCCTCGTAGCAGTGTCTAACAGTTAATAGGATCGGTCCTACGACTAATCGATTGATCCCTTAAGTACTACTAAGGGTACACGACTATAAGTAGTACTAGTTCTATCCTAGTATATTTAGATGTCAATCCTTCTGGGGTGCTCTCCCAACACTTCTCTCGGGTTGTTGTCGTCACAATGGAGTGATCAGTCTCCAGAAACTCCTCTGCCAATCGTTGCTTTCATCACCGTGGAACTTGCCTCCGCCAGCCGCAGCACACCATGGAACATCAATCTCTGCAATATCTGGCTCGAACTCGCGCCCTCTGCAATCTGCCGCGAGAGTGCCACTGCCCCATTTGCATAGTGCCTCATCTTATCCTCGTACGTTGCAATAACATCCAAGATGCTGGTGTTGCCGCGGTGTGCATCAATGAGAAGATCGGTCAAGACGTGAGCATCACGAAACGCGATGTTGGCGCCGACTCCCGCCATGGGCGTCATGTTGTAGGTTGCGTCGCCAAGAAGTAGTAGTAATATACTAGTATTGTTTGTCTTCCACGGAGTCAGACGGGGCATCGAGCGCAAGACGATCGGGGCGACTGTGGCGAAGTCTGCTTCCCTGACCACGGTCACGAGCGATTCAGCCCAATTCTGAATACCGGCGAGGGCGATGTCACGCAGCTGTGAAGGTGATAGTGCTTTGGCATCTATGGGAGTCTCAGGCTTGGGGACCACGTATGCCCACAACGTGTAGTTGTCGACCGGGCCACGCTCCCCTTCTGAAGACGGGAATGGGGCTATGAACAACCAAACCTTCCCATACGGAACGATAGTATTATTCAGCGAGCCGTCCGTCAGGAGTGCCGGCAAGTTTTCCGTGCGGACCTTGTCCAACTGGTACCGCCCGCATATAACAACGATGCCGAGCTCTTCTTGTTTCAGGTCCGACAGCCGTTGTTCGCGGACCTTGGATTTGCTGGTATCTGCGCCGATGAGGATGTCTCTCTCCACGCTCGTCGAGTCCGCAAAGCGTGCACGAACCCGTCCGCCGTCGAGATGCTCATAGTGGGTGAAGGATTTACCCCAATACACGATTGCTCCTTTCAAATATCCAGGAATTCGGCACGATGGGCCGCTCGTCTCTCAACGTCCATTTCTGGTTTGCCTGAAATTTTCGCATCGTCCCGCAGAGCCAGCCGCCACAAGTGCGTGTCGCGAAAAGCTCACTGTGGCCCTGCGGGTGTCGTTGCAACAAGAAAACGGTCCCAGCTTTCGCGATCAAGACAGTGCTGGAGTGCGCGCTTACCATCAGAGCCCACGTGGAGCCCATAGCCCGTAAGTTCGTGCGTCGGGTCTGCGTGCCTTTCAAACACCTAGACCTCGATACTAGTAGCTTTCTTCTGCTGCAAGCCGTTGGCCAGGCAGAGACCACCGAAACCTGCCCCGATGATGATGACACGCATGGCGCAAATATCCTCTGTAGCTGGGTGAGTCTTGTCGAGGGCAGGTCCTATTCTATATTCTCTATTCTGTGTTTCGTTATTCGATCTCACGACGGTCGCCGAGGATGTGGGAACACACATGGCGACATATGCATCACATACTGCTCATATCTTTCCATAGTTGTGACCATAAGATCCGGGTATATACTATACACCTAGAATAGAAGTACTAGTATTACGTTATGCCACAGGGTGACCGGCTTGGTGCCATGGTGCCACGAAGTCAAGTCAGGACCGAGTAGCAGAAGCAGTCTAGTGTAAGGGCAGGAGAGCACTAATCTGTTCTACTCACTAGTACAAAGTTCTAGTCTATGAACGAGCTATTGACGAGTACTGGTATAACTTTGCCATTATATCTCTCAGTTGGGCGCCTCCAGAGACGGTAGGGGCCCAATGGTGAGCCTCACGAGGTGTATTCGTACGTGCCTAGCTGATGGCAGATTACTGCTTAGTTGCCCAGGCCCAATCAAACCCTTGCCGTCCCTATCTTGAATCACTCAGCTGCGAGTCAATACTACTCGGTGGTACCTCGCATAGCGAATGCCTACTATGTAAAGGGGGTTGACTCCACTCTCCCTCAAGGCTATTGTATTACTCGCTCAATCGCAGAGGTCTAGTGATCTGCAAACTTCCACCTGAGCATAAATCTACCAATGATACTAAATCAAGTACGAATAGTAGCTAGTAGCTTTAAGGCATGCCAGAACCACTCCAACCGAGAACTTGCTGGCTATTGTCCAGCCAACTTCCTGGCGAAGGGCGTGCGAGAAGTTCGTCAGCCTTAGCTCGCTGAGAACTGAGCCCTCTCCCTGCACAGAAAATATGCAACAATCTCACTCTCATACTCGCGCGCCCAGCGGACCATGGCGCTTGCCGCCGAGGCTGATGAAACAAACGGAGTTCTGGATTACTGGGAAACTCTAAGCCCGAGCCCAACCTGCCTAACAAACGATGTAGCGAGGGTAAGCGAGGGTTGCCTGTTGATGTTGCGAGAAATGGGAGCTGAGGCGACAAGTATCTAGAGGCTGTTCACATCTCGTTGCCGGGAGACTGCAAAGAGCTGATCAGGGTCGAAGGGCTGTTGGTGACTCTAGATGAGATGCGTCGATAAATCGAGTGCTGGTATCTTGTGGACGTCAACATTTCGGGCAAAGACTTGATTCCGACCCAGCTGGTATGTCGCGATCTCGCTATTGTAATCACGGGTCGGTTTCATCGTCTCCGGATCTTCTTCATTAATACCCATCCGGTTATTTTGCAAAAGCTTGAGGGGGTTTGGTTACATGACATCCTCTGAAACGGACATTCATTGCCGCATGGTGAATAGATGGCCAGATCAACAGGGAATTTCACGAGCCCGGGGCAACTTGTGGAGAAACCCGGTGCAAATACCAGCCAGATGATGACATTGTTGATACAGGATCTTGGGACGAAAAGACTGCGTCGTTTTGTTCCAGACTGCTCAGTGATCCAGATGTCCCGACCGAGATCAATATCCGGCCATAGAAGAGAATGTCAAACTGAGGAATGTCGGCTGTGGTTTTTTTGGGCGAGTCCGATGTAATCGCCATCTGTGGAGCGTCAGCTGTTCATCCCATCGTAGCTGCTGAACTTTCTAATCAGTCTGTTTGAGACACGAACGACAATCCCGATCATTGTGGGTAGTCCGTACAGACTGCTGTTGAGCAAAAAGTGTAGTCGATAGTGTCAAGCCGCCCATATCTGTGTGTCAGCTCAAAGCTAGACGGTCAGCGTTACTGGACCAGGACCTCAAGCAGACCCACGACGTGCTCAATATGAGTTGAGAGACAAAAGGGGAGACGAGGGCCCGGTCGAGTCTGCGCGGGTCTCGAGCTTTGCATGTTCTGGCTCGGTCAGAGCTGGCCAGCCTTGCTACCATCTCAGACCGCCTGTCAATCGCCGACCAGCAGAATTTCAATATGTTCGATACATCCATCACCACAGCCTGAAAGGCGTGAGATCGAATCTGATGCACCGACCGGATTTTTCTGTCTCTATTGGTCGGGGATATGCTCTCGCTCTGAACTTCAAGAGGGAATGAGGGGCTGGCAAGGCTACAAAATAGAGGGAACAACTTTGGGGAAACTCTGATCTTGGCCAGCGGCTTGCTGCACCGACGGTGCTTAATTGACTGGAGGGAACACCGTATGAGTGCGCATTTGGGATATGTGTCTCCGGTAATTGATCCTGCCCAGATCTGCCGTGGTCATGGAGGCGGAGGGGGAGGTACCTACGTAGCCTCAAATGTCAATTAGGCTAATAGTAAAGACTTTGAGTAGGTAGCTAGCTCGCTGGTCTATTTTGCTAAAGCACGATCCCTAGGCTGTACTTATAGTTAGCTGAGTTAGTTGATAGTCGCTGTGCCGTTGATCTTGACGCGGGGGACATTGACATCCATTTAGGCCCGCGCACTCCCCGCCATTTCTCCGTGCTCCGGATTCCCACCCCGGTCCTCTCATGATGCACTAGCCTAATTGGGCCTGAGCCATTTGGTCTTAGCACCGCCGCAACCTATCACCTGACTATTTAACTCTCTTCTCAATGAACCAAACTTGACTACCTATTATTAACCTTGTTCAGGACCCCAAATGGTTCAATACCCCGAACCCCCCCCTCAAATAAGCTCCAGTGGTACATACATACCGAGATACATATTGTGTATCCCCCGCATTCATTCCCCTCACAAGATTCCCTGTTCACTGACTTTCCATTGCTTGCTATGTAATAGTATGGATTACCGTTAGTGGTTGGTGCTGTAGCCTCTGTACCTGGCCAGATCCACATTAAGGAAACTTCTGGGAGCTAAAATGCAGATCATCAAAGCCCTTTAGGCTCATGTCGAGGGTTGCTTCGTTGGAGAGGCAGCTCGGAAGTTCGCCGAACCAATGAACAGGATTCCAGTCCATTTGCCTTGTACCGTGTACACGCTTCTGCTCAAATCCATGTATGAGCATAAAGAGAACAGAAAGGTACGTTGAACCGCCATCTTTTTCTTAATCCGAGACCGGCTGTTGCCAGTGGTTCTTCCTAAGAGATATCGAAACGCCCGCATTCCAACCCCTCCCCACCCCCCCAAAACAGTATGCTATTGAGGCCATTGAGCTCCGTGCTCGGTGTGGTTTCGACCGCCGCAGCCTACGTGGTGAACAATGGGACCTCGTGTTACGTCTACCCGGAATCCTTGACCCATTTTGGCCAGCCTGTGGATGACACGCCCTCGATTCTCCGGGCCTTTGAGCTCTGCGGCACCAACGGATCCGTCATTCTCACGGAAAATACCTTCCACATCAACCAGGTCATGAACACGACTGGCCTAGTCAACTGCGACGTCGAGTTGCACGGCGAAATGATCTGGAGCGACAACATTCCCTACTGGCTGAGCCACAGCTATTCGGTGGTCTACGCTAACCTTTCCACAGCGTGGTTCTTCGGCGGAGAAAATGTGACATTCAAAGGCTTTGGGAAGGGGCGGTTCAATGGAAACGGTAAGTCGGTCGGCCGTGGCCCTTAAGAGAGGTTGTGTCTACAAAGAGGGGCTGGTAGAGACACTTTTTCAGAGAGCTAAGTGTACCATTCCACAGGCCAGGCTTGGTATGATGAGAACCGCAACAACAGCAATCAGCCAGGACGACCTATTGCGTTCACCATACTCAACGCAAAGAATCTTTGGATGGACGGCGTTTCGTGGAGTCAGGCGCAATTCTGGCATTCGTTCATCTCCCACTCGCAGAACGTCAGCATGTCGAACATCTACATGAACTCGACCAGCAACGACACCTGGTTTACCGTCAACACGGACGGTTCCGACACGTGGAACTCCAGGGATGTGTTCTACACCAACTGGACTGTTCTCGGAGGTATGTACCCAAGCCCATAACCATCCATTACCAACCGTCTAGAAAGGCGCGTAATTGGATCCAGCTCCTTCGTCGATAAAAGGTCCTTGTCCTAACTGACTGACCGACTAACTTGAACCGCACCAGGCGACGACTGCATCGCCATCAAAGGAAACAGCACCAACGTCGTCTCCAAGAATATCACCTGCTACCGCACTCACGGCATGCCAATCGGTTCCGTCGGCCAACAGCCAGGACATCCGGACTTCGTGCAGGACATTGTCTACGAGGACGTGCATCTCATCAACTCGACAAATGGCGCTTGGATCAAGGCGTGGCAAGGTCGCTCGCAGTCCGTGACGAACAATGGCGGGAGCGGCGGCGGCGGCGGTGGATACATCAAGAACGTCACGTTCCGGAACTTCGTGCTCGAAAATGTCGGCCAGCCCATCAGTGTGACACAGTGCGTGTACGGGCATGATCCCAGCGTATGCGACACGAGCGAGGTATGTTGGTCATTCTTGTTCCCCCCTCTCCCCCCCCCCCCAGGGCCCCCCAAAAAAGGTCTCTTCCTGCTCTGTAGATGTCAAACATGCGCGCATGTATGACTAACGGCGGGTCTATTTTTCCCCATGGACAGCTGCAAATCTCCGATGTCACCTGGGAGAACATAACGGGTACATCGCATTTCGACGTCGCCTCCGTCATCCACTGCTCGCCCCTAGTGCCGTGCCCCGGTATGAAGTTCATCGACGTGAACATCACTACCGTCAACGCCTCACTAGGCAAACCGAGCCTGCCTGAAGTCAACGTTTGTGCCAACATAGTGAACCAGAACGCCACTGGCGAAAATGCAACAGGCATCCCATGTCACGGATTCGCACCGAACGACATGCCCAATGTACTTTATCGGAACTGGCCAGAGCTGCTGACACAGGTCTTCCTCAGCGTGGTCGTCCCCTCTGCGCAAAGGGACAACTGCTTGCATCCTGGCCCCGATCCGGCAGCTGCTGGGTGCGATCCTCCTCCATACTAGAACATCTATCAAGGGAGGACTAAATAGAGGCGTGGTCTGGCCCTGGCTAGTCCATATACTTTCACAAG